TTGAACTGGGACCAGTTCAGGGTTAATTGAGCACGAGGACAGCAGAGAACAGGGTGGATTTTGGGGTGAAATAAGGAAGATTCTCTGTTTTGAGAAGGAAACGTTTATTCCAAGGAAAAGCCGCGCGCCCCGGTGGGTTTCAATCGGGTCTGACCCTCCCTTGTCCCCTGTCACCCCAAGGTGACACGTCCCCCCCCAGCCCAAGTGCTGCACACAGAGGATACACGGGCACACCCCCCCCAGCAGCCCCACTGCACCCCAAAGCTGTCCCCGATGTCCCCAAGGGGAGGGGACAGTACCTAAGCAGAAGGTGACAGCCCCTGAGGTCCCCAAGGGAATGTGACACCCCAAGGGATGATGATCCCAAGGGGTTGGTGTCATCTCTGGGACATGTGTGGCCACCCCAAGGGACCCTACAAGGTGTTGGTTGTTCTCCAGAGAATGGCAGGGGCCCCGGAGGGGAGGAGGTGACAGTACCTAAGCAGAAGGTGACAGCCCCTGAGGTCCCCAAGGGAATGTGACACCCCAAGAGATGATGATCCCAAGGGGGTGGTGACATCTCTGGGACACATGTGGCCACCCCAAGGAACCCTGCAAGGTGCTGGTTGTTCTCCAGAGAATGGCAGGTCCCCAGGAGGTGACAGTCCCCAGAAAGTGGGTGTCACCATAGTGACACCCCTTTTTTCTGTGTGTCCCCACCCCCCACCCAGCGGTGCTGTACAACCAGTTCCTGTCCCAGGTGGATTTCAAGGTGCTGAGGGACCACTGAACGGTCTCTGGGGCTTTGTGTGAGGAAAAAGTATTTCTTGTTTTTTAGAGAAGAGGTTCACAGTGAATTTTTGAGGTAGAAAAACTTCAAATCCTCAAAAGCCACCAGGATTGGCCACCTGGATAAGGAGCAGCAGCAGCAGGTGCCTATCTCAGGTGGATCTTCTGGTGCTTGATGAGCTTGGCTTTGACAACAAAGCTCTTCCCACACTCACTACACTTGTAGGGTTTCTCCCCAGTGTGCCTGCGCTGGTGGATGATGAGATTTGAGTTCCAAGTGAAGCTCTTCCCACAGTCGTTGCACTTGTAGAGGTTGTCCCCAGTGTGGTGGCGCCGGTGAGTGTTGAGGCACCAGCTGTATCTGAAGCTCTTCCCACACTCATCACACTTGTAGGGTTTCTCCACGTTGTGGGTTTGCTTGTGACGGTTGAGTTTGGAGCTGTGAGTGAAGCTCTTCCCACAGCTCTCACACTTGTAGGGTTTCTCCAAGCTGTGGGTTCGTTGGTGATTGTTGAGGGACCATCTGGTGCTGAAGCTCTTCCCGCATTGACCACACTCGTAGGGTCGCTCACCGGTGTGGATGCGTTGGTGGCTGATGAGGCACGAGCTGGATTTAAATCTCCTCCCACACTCATCACATTTGTAGGGTCTCTCCTCAGTGTGGACACGTTGGTGGCTGATGACGGATGAGGTGGTGCTGAAGCATCTCCCACAATCGCTGCACTTGTAGGGTCTCTCCCCAGTGT